GCAACAAAAATGGAAGACTGCGGACAAACTTAGATCAGCAGCATTTTGGGAGAAGGAACCAAAAAAACCAATGGAATTAGGGAAGAAAGGATAAATCAGAGGGCAGCAACCCTGAAGTAAACCCTGACTGAGAAGATACCATCAGCTCTGCTTTTCTGAGCAGCCGAAATCGTTGAGGAATGTAAACAGTAGTTTTGTTGTAACAGCCATAAAAGGTGGCCAGTTGTTCTATCTTCTTTGAAAGCTACTGTATTAATCTGCTGCTATAACAGCCCACTACAGGCTGGGGTTCTTGAGCAGCAATTTCCTCAGAGTTCTGTAGGCCAGAGGTCCACGACCACGGTGTTAGCGGGGTTGCTTCTACCAGCCTCTCTCCTTGGCTTGCAGATGGCTGTGTCTCCCGCTCTTCACGTGCCCTGCCCTCCGTGTGGCTCTGTGTCCTTATCTGCTCTTCTCATAAGGACACTGGTCCTAGTAGGTTAGGGTCCACCGTCCTCATTTTAACTTCATCAGCTCTTTAAAGGCCCTGCGTCCAAACACAGCCCCTTTCTGAGGTACTGAGGGTTATAACTTCAACATGTGAATTTGGGTGGGGGGGTGGGCACGGTTCAGTCCATAACAGTTGCCGTGTTCCCCGATGACTATTCTTTCTGTGAATGTCTTCTCAACATTCCAGTGTATCATCCTTTGAGAATGAGCAGACCAGTGTCCCATTTTGCGAGCTGATTCAAACCTGGCCTGAGGCCCTCCGTGAAGCCTCCCTCTCCTCGCTCCCAGCTCTGCTGTGGGCATCCTCCAGGCCCGGTGTGCGTGCTCAGTCACTTCTCTCCGGTCCAACTCTGCAAGCCTGTGGACTGCAGAGCTCCTCTCTCCATGGGATTCTCCTGGCTGGAATACTGGAGTGGGTAGTGATGCCCTCCTCCAGGGGATCTTCCCAACCCAGGGATCAAATGCGTGTCTCTCATGCCTCCTGCATTGGCAGGCAGGTTCTTTACCTTTGAGGGTTTCCCTGATAGCTCAGTTGGTAAAGAATCCACCTGCAATGCAGGAGACCCCAGTTCGATTCCTGGGTCGGGGAGATCCACTGGAGAAGGGACAGGCTCCCCACTCCAGTATTCTTGGGCTTCCCTGATAGCTCAGCTGGTAAAGAATCCACCTGCAATGCAGGAGACCTGGGTTCAATCCCTGGGTTGGGTAGATCCCCTGGAGAAGGGAATGGCTACCCACTCCAGTATTCTGGCCTGGAGAATTCAATGGACTGTATAGTCCACAGGGTCGCAAAGAGTCAGACAGGACTGAGTGACTTTCACTTTCTTTACCTTTAGGGCTACCTGGGAAACCCTCAAGCCCTCCTTCTCCCTTATTTCTCTCTCTGGGCATCCACCTCTCGCCTGCCTCCTGGGCTCCTCCGCAAGGGCCCCTTAGAGATCCTTGTTGATGCAGACGGTGGCGCATCACTGCGGGTGGAGATCGGTGGAGACAAGGCTGCCTCACGTCCACAGTGGGCATCTCTCCAAGGCCGCGCCCGCCTGCGAGCTGAGGGGAGAGGGAGAAGGGGTTGGCGGGTTTGTGGCATGGCCTCAAGTTGTGTCGGAGAAGGAGAAGCCCCGGAGACTGTGAGTAAGAGCCGGTGAGAGCCCAGTTTCCACGTTCCGCGACCGGGAGAAGGCAAGAGAAAGTCAGGACGCGCCTGACGTGGGATGGCACGAGGAAGTTCCCGCTGCGGAAAGTGGTCACATGGACTTCACGTGCTGGGCGGAGGCCGCTCTCCCGGAGGAGGGAAAGCCTGGCAGCCTCCGCGCTCAGCGCCTGATGAATTGCCGTGCTGACAGGACGGTGCAGGCCTCCTCACCGGGGCCCAGGCCCCACGCCGGCCCTCCGCGACTCCAGCAGCTGCCTGCGCTGTCCTCGGTGGCGGGGGCGAGCTGAAGGCCGCTGGGGAAGAAGGAGGGACAGGCCCCAGCGGCCAGCTTCCGCAGGCAGAGGCTGCCCCCCGCTTCTGCAGCCCTGCAAGGGCCAAACAGCAGGAGTGAATAAGTACAGGGGGTGGCAGCCTCTCTGTGGCCTTTAAAACTGTTGCCCACGGGGGTGCTAGGGGTAAAGAACTCGCCTGCCAATGCAGGAGACTTAAAGAGACACAGGTTTGATCCCTGGGTGGGGAAGATCCCCCTGGAGGAGGACATGGCAACCCATCCCAGTATTCTTGCCTGGAGAATCCCATGGACAGAGGAGCCTGGTGGGCTAGGGTCCGTAGCGGTGCAGAGTCAGACATGACTGAAGTGACTTCCCACGCTTCGTCGCACACCCACCCTCGCTGGAAGGACCCCTTCTGGCTTCAAGCTTCCTCCTCAGGGTCAGATAGGGGTTCTTGCATGTTCCTGCTTTTCTACCATCTGATCATTCTTGGCTACTTTGTGGCCCCTCCAGCCCCTTAGAGGAGGGCATTTCCTTAGCCTTTGCAGCCCACTTCTCTCCTCTTCCCTCTGTCGTCTCTTCAGAAACCTCATTCCACCGTGGAGCTTCACTTTCTGCATCTCCGCAGCCCTGTCTCCCTGGAGACCTCCAGGTCTGCATTTGCAAAAGCAAGTTCCTCTAGACAAGTGATTCTCAACTTTGGCTGCTCTGATTAGAATCACGCGAGAGACTAGGTTGCACCCCCAGACTCATCACATTAGAATCTTTGGGGGCTGAGAATCAGACTTTGGTATTTTTTGAAGTCATTTTTAATTCTCCCACCTGGAGATAGCAGTCTCTGTTCTGAGCTCCCACAGTGCTTTCATCTTTGTTCTTAGAAAACTGACACATGGTTTGTATGTTTGTTGGTTGTAAAGTCTGGCGGAAAACAAACTTTGGGTTTCCCGGCCTTGATATTTATCAACCATGAGACTTCAGGCAAGTTTGTTCAGCCTGTTTTCTCATCTGTAAAATGGGATGCAGAGAGTAATACTACTACTTACCTCATAGGGTTTTTACAAGAAATTGAAAGCTTCGATCAGTGCCTGGCATAAAGCAGGAAATCAATAAAAGTCAACTATTACCCCCCAAATCAGCCTTCATAGTTTTGAGTAGTCAGTAAGATTTGTAAATGATAAATTTGTGTCTAATCCAGTGGTTCTAGAAGCTAAGCCTTTACAAAGATCACCTGAAGAGTTTATTAGAAAACTAATTCCTGGGCCCTGTCCCCAGAGTCTCTGATTCTGCAGGCTGGGGGTAGGGTGGGGAAGGGCTGAGCACCCACATTTCTAACAGACCGGGGGGCGCTGCAGGTCTGAGGACCAGGTGGGAGCATTCCTGGCCTCTTCCCCCAGCATCCTCTCCTGCTCACCCCGTCTGCCCGAGGAGTGGCAGGAGGTCAGCTCGGCTAGAGGTCTTCTAGGGTTCCAGACACAGAGGTTGTTTTCCAGCCACCGACGTGGTTGATCATTAGTCCAACTGCCCAGGTACCAGAACTCGCCTGACTCAGACGGAGCAGAGTCCAGGCTGTTCCTTCCGCACCAATCAGAGCTCTTGAAGAACAGGATGGACTCTGAGGCAATAACTCAAAGCCAGCTCCTATTCTGTACTGTCATGACACTTTTTAGAAGCTGTGGGTTTGTGGCAAATTGTGAGAACGGACAGAGTCTGCTCCGATTGTGATCTATGTCCTCGAAAACGGCCCTGCTTCTTTAAAAAAATATATATTTTTAATTGAAGGATAATTGCTTTACAATGTTGGTTTCATTTCTGTCATACATCAGGGAGGGCTTCCCTGGTGGCTCAAATGGTAAAGAATATGCCTTCAATGCAGGAGACTCAGGTTTGATCCCTGGGCCGGGAGGATCCCCTGAAGAAGGGAATGGCAACCCACTGCAGTATTCTTGCTGGGATGGTTCTGCAGGCAGAGGATCCTGGTGGGCTACAGTCCCTAGGGCCGCAAAGAGTCAGACACGACTGAGCGACTGACGTTTTCACTTTCACTGCCAGACATCAGCCTGAATTCGCCATAGGTGTACATATGTCCCTGCCCTCCCGAACCTCCCTCCCACCTCCCACCCTGCCCCTCGAAGGCGAGGAGAACAGACTTACAGAGACGGGCAGGGGGAGGAAGGAGAGGGTGAGACGAACAGGGAGAGCAGCGGGGAAGCACACACACCGCCGTATGTGAAACAGATAGCCAGCGGGAACTTTCACTGTGACTCGGGGCGCTCAAACTGGTGCTCTGCACCAGCCTGCTTCTGTCTTACCCTCAAGGCCCTCAGGGTACTCAGAGGTTACCCGAGCCCACCATGCACTCTAGCCCCATGGATTGAAATCACTCCCTCAAACAGATAGTCTCTGCAAAGCCTTCGGATTCCCCCTCTTTTTTTTTAATTTTCTTTAAGTTTATTTATTTTAATTGGAGGCTAATTACTTTACGATATTGTAGTGGTTTTGTCAGACGTTCACATGAATCAGCCCCCTCTTGGTGCGGCGGGGAGGGGGCACTGGCTTCTCCCTCAGACAGGCAAGATGCCGGTGTGTGGGTCTCCCCTGGGGGAGCACAGAGCCCCTTCCTGGCGCTCTTGACCCTGATTCTGGCTTCTCTAACAAGGTTGCAACACCAGGCATTTAGAGCGGTTTTCTTCCTAGGAAGGAGCCAGAATACAGCCATCACTGAATCTGGTGCTGTGCCCTTGTGCTGTTTATTTGGTTTCCCCTCCTCTGTGCAGCCAGGGTATCTATCTCATTACATTTTCCTGTTAAGCTGACTCTATTCTGTTTCCATTTTCGCTCAAGTCCATTACGCTAACTACAGTACACATTATTATCCCCTAAACAACTTTACACAATCCGTTTTAGTGAGCAAGGTCAGGGCCCACTGAGCTGAGAGACCAGCCTTCCAGTTGGCTCCCAACCAGAAGAGCCAGCAGCCCCCTGCTTCTCAAATCAACCCTGCTCCCAGAGGGATGGCGCTTCACGTCAGTGAAGAATGTATTAATTAAAGGAAATGAAAATGTGCTCATTTGTTGTAATGAATTTAGCTCTTGCAGGCCATTTTCTTCGGGGTGGCCTGCCTGGAAGATGTGCTGAGAAGAACCAAAGGGAAAAAAGACATTAAGTTCGTAACAGCCTTCAGAGACCTGCTTTTCACCACACTGGCTTTTCCGATATCCACAGTAAGTTACAAAGATATGCAGGTGATATACTGCTCACGTCATATGGACCAAGGCTTCTCCTAGGCAGCAAGAGCCCGTTACTGTAATCCATGGCAACTGCATTTGCATAAATGGCCCAAGGACTGCATTGCACTGCCCAATGTCTTGGGGAAATAAGACACATCACTGCCAAGATTTATCATTAGCGTTTGTATCTTTGTGAATGTTTGATATGAGATCCTTATTACTGTCGGGCAGGGAATTCTAAAGGACCTTTCTTAACCAAAATACAACCAAGATAACCTTGGTTCCATTAGGATGATGGGAATGGAGGGTGCTAAAGAGGGAGATGAGTAACTTGCCTTTCATGCATCTGGTTTCACTTGAACAATAAGCATTTGTTACTTTTGCAATTGGAAACCATTTTTCTAAAAAAGGTATGAAACCTTTCAAAGTTTGACATTTTGAGAGGAGAGAGACAGTCTGTCTGAAATACCTGGGGTGGGACCCACAGTGGGTGGTGCCTCATACATTTTGTTGAATGAATGGACATTGGGAAAATGCAAGACATATGCAAGGGACAGTTGTAGCTGGTACTGTCCACATTTCTACAACTCACTGACAATTTCACTCATTAGTTAGAATGAAAACAAACTGAAGCCAGGCACACCAGCGGCCCAGCAGGGCCTGTAATGAAAAATGACTATCTCCTTCCACCTGTCATCGTCCTGCTTCCTACAGTATTGAGACTTTAAACTTAAATCCAGAATGAAACTCTCCAAGCACTAATAAGGTCTCAGATAGCAGAGCGAGTACTAGCATTCCAATCTTACTTTGCAGGACACCTCCTCCTCCACCCCCCAAAATCTTCTAAAGACCAAGTTGCTTAACAATGGAGTTTATTCATTTTTTTTTTAAGACTTAGAAATTGAGCCTTTGGAATTTAAGGAGATAGGACAATCAGAAGATTAATAGTTTTTTTTTTTTTTTTCCATCTCTGCATTGATCTTGTAGCATGGAAGACAGAGACTTTGAAAAGATAGCCAAGGGGTACAAGAGGATGGAGATCAATCCAGAGTTCTGAGCAAGAAAGAGATCCAACTGTCAGTTAACTAGCTTAGTGGATTATCCTGGGGGCTTGTCAGTTATCCACCCCCCCCAAACCCCTCCACCCTCGAGCCCAGTCTTCCTGCTTCCCCTGGCCACACCTACCTAGAGAGTGGGCAAGCCATGTGTAAGGCTTAGCTACTCCATTTGGCTGCTTTCAGGCCTCCTGGGGAAGCTTAGAGAAGAGAGAAGTCATGGTCAAAATGAAATGACTTAATGGTCTGCGAATCCTGTTTCTCTACATCCTGTCTGCTGGCCACAGTGACAACTGATTCCTAACTCTCTGAAGTCCCCAGAGACTGGGCATTGTAATTCTATGATAAATAATTTTTTCCTTCATGTAATAATTCTATTTAAGAATGTATCTTTAAAACTGGTATCTATGTTTATTTTGATATGTTTTCTTGACTATCTTAGGAAGCTCCGATTGAAAATAAACCTAATGGTGCTATTTTTCTGTTCTATTTTGCAGTTTGTATTTCTGTCATTCTGGATTCTCTTTCTCTACGACAGAGAACTCGTTTACCCTAAGGCCCTAGATACCATCTTTCCAGTGTGGTTGAATCATGCAATGGTGAGTAAAAGGCAAGTTTAGTGAATCCTGAAAAGCAATAGACTCTGTTCTGAGAACTCCAAGTGCCTCATTTATGTTTCCAAGCTTCTCAACCCCCAGCATCCCATTCACTCCTCCCTCTTCATCCTGTCACTGTTTATTTAAAGAGCACATTGAGAAAATGAAATGAACAAAAAGTGGTGCTGTAATCAGAGTCACTGAGAGCAGATGGGATGTCCAGGCAAAATTCTTTACCAAGTTGCTTATGAAGTCATTGAAAAGACATGACGTCATAAGGACAGGCAACTTCTTGGAGGGTCCAGTCCTGAAAGAGAAGCAACTTCCGCAAATATTAGTAACATGTAATGAGATTCCTACCTAGGAATTGAATCAAGCAAGCTTTAAAATTAATCCATCCTGAATGTTAACTAGACTTACTGTGGTGAACATTTTACAATACATACAAACATCAGATCATTATGTTGTACTCCTGAAACTAATATGTAATTCATGTCAATTATACTTAAACACCTCCCCCACCAAGCCACCCAAATGTCCAAAGCAAATGTCACAGCTCAGAAGTAATTTCTTAGCCGATACCTGATCAGGAACATTTATCACAAGTGTTCTGCCTAGTTCTGTTTCCCATTTGATTTTTTTATTCATGCATTTATTTTTGAGGAGCTGAAGAGTAAACAGGACTTGTTCTGAGTTATTCAGGTCACGGTATCTGGATACCAGTGACAGTGGCCTGGACAAGCGGAGCTGGAGGCGGACTGCCCAGGTCTGGGATGAAGGAGGAGGTCTGAGTCATGGACACCACATGCACGAAGTAATCATTCAGAGTGCTTGCTCCACTTCTCAATATTTACAAAATGTGTTTCCACATTAGTCAGGAGTTCAGAAGGAGGTCCAAGAGGTCTGTGAAGCAAATGACATTTAAAAACCTCCGGGAAATCACAAGGGAGGAGCGTGTCAAGGCGAAAGGAGAAGGGGGGTAGCAGAGGAGGAGATGGTTAGATAGCATCACTGACTCAATGGACACGAATTTGAGCAAACTCCAGAAGATAGCAGAGGACAGAGGCCTCTGGCATGCTGCAGGCTACGGAGTCACAAGGAGTCAGACTTGACTGAGCAACTGACCATCAGCAACCAAGTATGCCAAGGCTCCTCGGGTTCACAGGCTTCCTTCTACCCTCAACTTTTCCACTGTCTCAAAACTTACATGATTAGCAGTTTGGAAAAGCAATTCAGTCCACTAACTCTGCTCCACCACATGGCCTGCCCCTTAGGAAAAAGAGCATACTTTCACTTTAAATATGTTCTCAGTGAGATACTAGTTATTAACTAAGGTATATGATTCCCATCTCATTTAGAGTTCAGGACCAAAAGCTATGTATTAAATAAATCCCAGCTCTCAGAGACCCCTCCTACAACCTTCTTTTTGTCAGATCACCTCCTCACCTTCCCAGCTTCCCATGAGAATTAATCTGAAACCCTTACATAGGGAATATTCTGAATATTTTATGGCATTTACACTATGTTAAATGGGCTTCCCAGGATGCTCAGTGGTAAAGAATCAGCCTGCCAATCTGGGAGACACAGGAGATGTAGACTCAGCCCCTGGGTCAGGAAGATCCCCTGGAGGAGGAAATGGCAACCCTCTCCAGTATTCTTGCCTGGGAAATCCCATGGACAGAGGAGACTGGCAGGTTACAGTCCATAGGGTCAAAAAGAGTAGGACATGACTAAGAACGCATGCACACACACACTGTGTTAAGCCTTTTCCTCAAATAGGAGCCTATTTAATTCACACAAATTTCTTTAAATGACAACTACAATCCTGACTTTTTTTCCAAATTAAAAAAATACTCAGAAAATTTAAGTGATTTACCTGGGGCCACTGAACCTATAAGTGGGACAGTATTTAAATCCAAGGCTGATTCACTCTCCGTCGCCTTATATTACAGTAAGTGCAGAACTTTCGGTTCGATCTGGTTTCATAACTCACCAGGCAATCAAAAAGGATGTCATTTTGCTTGATTAACATAGCAAAGTGAGAATTCTCACTTAAAAAAATCCGAAACCCCCATCTGCCTGCTAATAAGCCAAAGTAGTTCTTAAGAAAGCGAAGCTATTTGAGACAACTGACTGAGCTAGACGTTACTGAAATAAAAAGGCAGAGTAGTGAAAGTGTCTTTTATCTGGAGCCAAACACATATATCAAATAGATACCTTTTCAAGGTTTTGTTAGCCCAGCTAGTAGTTTTCCTACATCAATTTCAAGCTTCCTACCTCTTTGGGGTACCATTTTCCCACTTTGCAAGTAAAGTTACAGCTTGCAAGACCTTGTCCATCACTAACTCTTCCAAATAGTTGTAACGGTGATGCCCAGCACTTGTGAGCTTGCTAAACAGCCCTATGGATTTTTGGTACTTTTGGAAGCAGACAGCTTGATAATGGACATCCTACCCATCAGTTAATTAGCAAGGCAGATGCATAGAACCGAGAGCATGAAGTAGTCGCATACCTTCACAACTGGGGGTTTCTTTTGACCCTGCTCCTTGACGTTTGGCCAATCAGGTAACCCGAACCCTTTAACGTGAAAGGGCTAGCGTCAAAAAAAGGTGGGGTGAGAGTGAAAAAGAGAGCAGAAAAGGCAACCTGCCCTGGGTCAGACACAGACTCTCCTGTGATTCTGTTAATTTAATTGGAGGATCTCTCAAGAGAGCCATTTCTGGTGAAAATGTTGCTGTCAGCAAAACCAGCATCGGGGACTTCCTGTGGGGTCATCCCCAAACTTCCAGGCTCCCTTTTCAGGTCTGATACACATCCAATGTGCTCAGGACTGCCTCTCATCCCTCTCCCCCAACCTGTGACCCTTACTCTGGACATTTTCTGTCCTCAGTATTCAAGTCTCCTGGCCCGTGGCCTCAAGGAACACTCTCTGTTAATTTTCTAAATACTGGTATAAAAGAATACAGAAATGACTGTTACTGGGTTAATTTGTTAACACTTCCTACATTTTAACAGTGTCCTTGCATGACAACTCAAGGGAGTAAATACCCAGAAACCACCACCGTGGTGGCCAAAGTGATGATGGGTAGTCAGACCAGACATTGGTCTAGGTGCCTCCACATGGGGCTGGGCCTGGCCTTAAAAGGAGCCGGTATTGTTCCTTTTATTTTCCCTTCCACAGTATAAGAATTTCTACTGTGCAAAACCAGTGTTATGCCTTCCTGAAAGGGTCTTTCATTTCACAATAGCATTTATGTTTGCCATTCCTTAGCTTTGGAATACTCTTCCTGTTGCCATTTGCATTGCTGCTCTGGGTTTTATGAGTAATATTTGTCAAATTAAGAAATACTGCTCTCCCTTTTGACACCGCATAGTTCTAAAACCTTTATGTTTCAAGTCTTTGGTCTCTTTCCTGTCTAAGCCCTCTAGTTCATTATAGACTCGCCATTGCAGTGAGACTGTTTGAAGCTGATCATCATCTTTAATTGACATTTTTCTATCCTTGCTGTATATTCAAACCAAACAGTAACATCAGTGAAATGCCTACATCCACCATGGTCCGGCTGCCTTATTTAAAGTAGATCAACCCGACTAAGCATTTTTATTGCTAAGCATTCTCCAGTCTTCATGAAAGAAGGGAAAGAACAACAAAGTATTCCACCAGGTTTTGCCAGGAAAACATTAACTCCTCAGGTATTATCTAAATGACTACTAAAGATAGAACAAGAAAAGACAGATTTAAACAGCAGGAAGAGGACTCAGTAACTGAGGAAACAGTTAGATCCTAACCTGGGGTATCTGGAGAACTTATTTCTATAGAAATCAACCTACATCATTCAAGTTTCTCCAAATGAAAGGTGAAAATATCAGAGAACCCCCTCCCAGAGGCCCTCTACATTTGAAAATATCACATGATTATTGAGCATGTGTACATAAGCACCTTGTAAACTACCAAGGACTGCATAAATATCAATAGTTGTTATCATGTAAGACACTCCATCCATGATCACAGAGCTTTAGAACTGAAAAACCTTCATTTACATTAATGGAGATTTCAAAACAATCTGTTCTTATGAGATAGGCCTTATCTTGGCTCTTTAAATTGGAGTAAATACCAAATCCAGCTACCTAGTTATTTAACATGTTGTCATTTATTCATCTGAAAAAACAGTGAAGTAGTGACCACACGGATAACACCATGACGGATATCTGACAAGAGTTTTGACTTCCAGCACCCTTAAATCCTGTTGAGCCTGGTATACATGCACAAGGCTGAGCTAATAGAGATAACAGTTATACTAATACATAGGTGGTTTTGTGCAGTGGTGTGTGATAACCGTCAAGTGGACAAGGTAGATGGGAGGGCTGCTATGCCCCGTGTGTCCCAGCCTGGCTGAGGGTCATGACTGGGCAACCTGGAAATCCTTTGAGCCCTGTCTGAGAGCTTGCTGGGGAAGCAAAATGTCAAGGAAGTGAAACTCCAATCCTTCCAGTTTCCTCCTCATTTACAGCTTGCAAGACCTTGTCCATCACTAAATTCAGGCTCAGTTTCAGAGTTTTCTCTCCCACCTGTAAGCTTGGTGTGAAGCTGTTGGGCTGCCAGGTAGAGGCAGGTGAGTCCTGATGAGCATAGAAAGAAGGTCACCTGTGGGAATATCAGTATCAAACAGCCACCCTTTGTCCTCAACATTACAAGCCCCTCACCCATGCCTCCCTGGTTCCTCACCCCAGGCTTTCTGGGCAGAGGAGACCTACAATCTAGGTATCTCTGGATAGCTCAGTGGTTTTCAGCCTTTAGGAAATAGAGCCCTTTGTGAATCTAAGGAAATCTATGAACTCTTTCCCAAGGAAAGCCCAAATAACCACAAAATTTTGTGCAGACTTGTAGAAGGCTCATAGACCCTCAAAGTCCCATTTATGGATCTCAGATTAAAATTTCCTGATATAACTGAACATATACTTGAAAAGCGGTCAAGTACAAATGTCACTGTAAGATGATCACT